CTTCAAGAGCATGGAATGCAGATGTCTTTTGAAGAGGACGCCATCCAGTGTTTGTTCAACTTCATTTCGATGACCTACAATTTGTTTGCCAAGAACGCTTTACATCACACACCAAGAGAGGAACTAGTGCAGAGAGAGTTGCCAGAGATTGCATGCGCATCATTTGGTATGACAGTGTTGGCTGAAACGCCAAGTTCGTTTGCACCTAGTTCATCACGGTTTAGTCCAGCAGCGTATTGGCATCCATCTGTGGGTTCATTAGGACATGTATGCGCCAGTCGTCTAGCTGATGGACAGTTGAAGAAGTTCGTAGCTAAGACTATCAAGCTGGTGATGCCTCCTAAGTATGATCCAGAGTTGTGCACAGGAGTTCTCAAGCCAGGTCAACCCTTTCCCTAGTCATCTTCCTCCGACTCGCGCTCAGGTGAAGTCCAAGATGGTTCGTCGAAGCCAGAAGCGTCACCGAAAGCCCCAGAGAGAGTTGCGCCGCCAGAAGTCACCACCTACAAGGGTGGTAATCCACCAGCAGCATGGTACAAAGAACATGGTAAGACACCAGGATGTATTGCATGTGACAAAGGTGTGAAAGGTAGAGTTCACAGTGTAGCTTGCAAGGCTAGGTATAAGAAGTGGTTGACTGAACAGCTGCCGTCGTCGGATCGCCGAGTGTTGCCAAGAGTTGAGGGAAGGCCAGAAGGTGTCAGGTCAGAGCCATCGGAAGTCATTCCGTCGCGGCCGCCGGTTGAAAGGGATGAGATAGGTAGGATCAAGAACGTGCCGGATCTTCCAAAAGATCCTTTGGAGTCAGAAACGCCTGCCTTGTTTGTCCCACAGTCCGGAGTGGATGAGACTATGGCGCCAGTAGAACCCAATGCCCCCTCTCACAAACGGAGATTGAGTGAACCAACCGCTGAAGGTCCGACAGATGCAATCGAAGTTGATCGGTCTGGAGCCCCGTCCCTTGATGAGTCAATGGATGTCCCAGGAGAGTCGATGCAAGAGTCTGAGTATACGCCATCACGGCCTCCTAGTGTGTTGGACGATTCGAATCCTATGGATTTGGATGAAGATGTTGCCATGGAAGGTAATCGACTAGATCAGCTTGCGCAATGGACAATCCAAAGCTGTTTTGTAGGACGGTCGTATGAAGAGTGTCATTTGAGCCAGTTTCGGAACAGCATCTTTTACGGTGAACAGAAAGTGCCCGTCACGCTCAATCGTGCCAAGTTCTATCAGAAACGTCCTTCGTATGTCCTAGAAGAAGGTTCATCGAAAGAATTGGACCCAGAGATGACTTTGCAAGGCATGCTTGTTGAGTTTGGACAGATGGACTCGAATCGGCTTGGACGTGTGTTGCCGGAAGAGAGTGCGAAGAAGTTGGCCGTTGAACGTGGTCAAGAGATCATTCCATGTCGCTGGGTCAACACCTATAAAGCTTCGAAGGATGTCGTGAGATGTAGGTGTGTGGTTCAGCAAGTTTCGGCCGGAGCCGGAACAGCAGTCAGTCTTGGGATTTCCAGTCCCACTGCCTCAGTTGATGGGTTGAAGATGGTTCTTGCACTAGCTGGGTACTTTGGTAGCTTTTTGGGAGCTCTAGATGTCAGTTGTGCTTTTATGGCCTCACCTCTTCCCATGGGTTTTCATCAGATCGTCCGCCTGCCTGCAGGAACCGTAGATTCCAATGGTCGACCGGTCTATGTGGATCTGATCAAGGCCATGAACGGTCTGCGGGTGTCGCCAAGAGCCTGGATGATGTATATCTCAGATATCATTCAAACTCAGTGTGGACTGTCGGCGAATCTGATTGAGCCTTCGTTGTTCGCCGGATGGACGAGTGTTGAGGGTCTTGACTCAGAGTTTGTCAACATCCTAGTCTATGTAGACGACTTGTTGATTCGGACGGAGACAGAAGCGATGTATGAGAAGTTGGTTGCTTTGTTGAAGCATGAGATCCAAATCAATGAAACAGGACGACTTGGAATCAAACAGAAAGGAGAGTTGAATTTTTTGGGTCGTCGCATCTGGCGGGAAGCCCAGTCCGATGCCGTACATGTCGGAATGAAAGAAGGGTTCTTCGAGGACATGTTTGGTCTTCTTATGGTTTCTGGTTTGAAGCCGTGTGATGCAGTACCTCAGATTCGAAGTCAGTTGGATAGTGTAGATCCAGCCAACAACAAAGAGTTGTCTCCTGAACAGGCCACTGCGTATCGATCGGTTCTCGGTCGTATGGCTTGGCTTGCACCGTTTAGAGCAGACTTGTGTTTTGCAATGAGTCAACTCGCCGTCGGTCAGTCGACGCCCATGATCAAACATGAGAAGGCCTTGAAAGCTGTCAGTAGGTATGTCAAAGGAACTGCCCACCTGTGTCAGACGTTTCCGATTCCCGATGTCGGTTCGCTCTACCATCAAGAGGGTATGCATGAGTTTTCCTTGGTTTCATACTGTGATGCCTCGTTTGCCCCTATGTCCAACAATGGTCGGAAGTCGGTGAGTGGAGGACTCACAATTTGGTTGAACTCATGTATCAAGAGCTATGCCCGAACCCAATCCGTCGTTGCCCAATCGAGCGCCGAGGCTGAACTGATCGGTGTAGTCGAGATGACGACCGAAAGCCTGGGTCTCCAGAAAATTGCGTCGTTTGCGTGTTCTGGTGAGTTTCCGGAAGAGTATCCAAGGGATGGAACGGTTGATCCTTTGTTCATATGCACCGACAGTAGTGCTACTCAGTTCATTGCCCACCGCATGGATGTTCAGAGACGATTGAGACATGCTGAGATTCGTTGGGAGTTCTTGCAGCAGGTGATAGGTAGAGGTCTCCTTCGTTTGTTGTGGGTAAAGGGAAGTGAGAATCCGAGCGACATGTTGACCAAAGTGCTTGATTCGTCCACGCAGTTGAGATATCGAAAAGATCTTGGGATCGTTGCGAATCACAGGCCGTTCGATTTGAGCGCGACGGATCAGAAGAATAGTAAGAAGAAGAGTGTATCTGGATCTTCGAGCTCGTTGACCGCAAAGCCAACGGAAGATCATAAAGTGATCGAGACGGAAGGTTTTGTTGTTGAAGAGGGGTCAGCGATGGAGATCAAGCAGTCGGAGATGGTGTTGGCCAATGTGGCCGAGACGGACTTCAAAGTCCCAAACGGGACGCAATACTTGCTTGTTGAGCTTTGTTGCGAGGAGGAGTCCGTTCTGTCGACGGCATGGATGTTGAGAGAGAGTCACTATGCATGGCGAGTGACGGAATCAGTTGACCTGAAGCGAGAATCCACGATCCTTGCTCTCATGGAGGCTCTAGGTTCGCTAGGCTCAGAGGTGAAGGTATGGATTCATGCGTCCCTGCCGTGTACTGGTGGGAGTCCTTTCATGTATCTTCATGAGTACGAGAGATCGAAAGAGCATTCCCAGAAACGACAGTTGTTCAAGGACTTGTTGAAGAACGCAAAGCGTATCCTTGGCCTTGGATATGACTGGTCGTTCGAATTGTCAGAGAAGTGTGCGTACTGGGGTTGGAAAGTTGTTCACCAGCTCCGAATGTGTTCACCGGTCCGAAAATGTTATACGGCACTTCCACGGTTGTGTTCGTCGGTCGAGACCGCAGGATTCTCAAAGAGATGGCGATTCATCAGTTCTCGGCCAGAAGTTGCAAAAGCATTGCATGAGAAGCATAGCATGTGTGTATGTCAGTGGCATGAGCAGCCCGACTATCGCGCAAGCGGTATCTATAACCAGGAGTTGGTAAAGACCTTGGTTCATGTGTTTCACAAGTGTCTGGTCTGTGAAGTCAAGGGAGACGACACTTACCTTTGGTGAGTTCTCGGTTCAAGCTTCTACAGCTTTTAGAGCCGAAAAGATGGACGAAGTTCTTGTTGCACTTATCGTTGTGAGTGTGATCTCGATCATGGTTCATGAGTTCTTTGGCCGCATGAGAGGCGCTAGAACGGTTACCGTTGCTGACGCTTGGACTCAGACTGAGAGCTCAGAAGAGAAGTCAGCTACTGTACAGACAGATACTGTGGATGAGCGAGTGCACGGAAGGATCCCTTTAGAGATCGCTGTGCCCCGAACGGGGCATTGCTACCATGTCCCAACGTGTGGTCACGTCCGCAATCGGCCGGTCACGACCTTTAGACGGTGTATGGATTGTCTGCATTGAGATTTCGAATAAGACTTCTTAGCAGCATTCCTTTGCCGAAGAGGGGTGTGAAGGAATGAAACCCTATAGGACAGATGACGTCAAAGGCAATGTCTGCATCGTTTGAGTTGTAGGCAGAGTCTAAACAGGTTGCCGGCAGGTTGAAACGACTTGCACTTGTTTCAAAACTGTTGGTCACACATGTTGTCACACACCCTTGTCCCAAAATGAGCCCGATACACTTTTTGCATCCCCGTCCAGTTTTTGCCCTCCGCAGAGTTGGTACCTCACTGATGAGGATTGTGCTGCTTTTCATAATATTGAACGAACAGTTCATAAGAACAGTCAGTGCACATCCCAACTGCTAGTGATTCTCGAGATGCCTCCATACTGCTTGTGACAGACAGCCTGTCATGATTGTAATCTTTGGTAGTGTTGGTTGTTGACTGTAACCGTTTACAGGTTAGAAGCTTAGAGCATGGAAGCAGCTCCGATGTGAGGAACCACGTCGTAGACTTTTTCACGACCTTTTGTTCTCGAACTTTTCACGACGTGTGCGAGGTACAGGACGACTGAGTGTAGGATCTAAACTGCTAGGCACCTACGAGAGGACACCGAGAGTTTCCACGGTTGTCATTTGTGGCATGCGTTGCTGTTAGCAGCCTTCTAGTGTTGTGCAGTTCTGCTTTGATGGATTCAGACAGACCACAGCAGGAATTCAACATTCCCAGTTGCAGGGTGCTTCATGAAGCTAGTCAGCTGACACCGGAGTTCTTCTCACGAGTGTTTGTTGGGAAACTGTTCCGTAACAGTGTTGAAGCGTTAAGAGTGACCACCATGCAGTACAGATGTGTACTTTGCACTTTTGCACGTTTTTGCCCAACAATGTGACTGGTTGTGTGGACAGATCACGCGACTCTTTTTGCTACGTTGCGATCGCCTAGTTGTGTCACCTAGATCACTTTGACAAGAGTGAAATGTTTGTTCCCGATGCTTAGCTTGTTCAGATTGGTCTTCACTCGCACCACCTCTAGAGATGCTATGCACAGATGCCAGAGAGCAGTGAGATAGCACGAACTTTGTGTACAGTCTGTGGGAACTGTGTTTGGATCGTTTGAATGTGTTCCACACGTGTATCCTTGAAAACACCCTTTTCAGATGCCATTTGTAAGCGCCAGAGCGCGCACAATGTGCAAGCAGTTGTTTACCGAGAGTGGAAACCAGTTGAGCATTGGAAACCTTTCTTTTGATGCACGCCCTTTTTGCGCAGAGCTTGAGGTTGACACGTCTTGCTCCTAGTAGCGATGCCAGGAGCCCCTATGTGTTTGAACTTTGCCTGCAGGAGCTTTTTCGCTTGCCACGCGTGAGCGGCTCATGACCCGAAATACTATGGCTCAAGGAGAGAAAAGGAACTATGTATACCGCTGTTTGCAATTAGTAATTTTGTATATCAGCAGATAGAACATAGTTGTGCTCCTACCACGAACGTGGTAGCGGAGCTTTCCGCCTGGTTTGCTTCGGGACCTTAGAGAACGGTGGTTTAGCACACTCGTGTTGTTCGCATGACAGAGCCAAATGGACACGCAGTACCACCCACGCTTGACACCCTACTGCAGGTTGAGCATCTTAGAAGGCGTCTCGATGACCAGACTGAGCAGATGAGAGAGTTGACCGAGGTTTTGAGGTTGGTCACGGATGGACAGCGCAGGTTAGAGGTCAGTGTGACTTCGCTACAAGCCCAGAATACGCCAGTAGATGCCTCGTTTGGGTATGTGCGTACAGGTGTAATGCCGCCACCGCCACCAGGAATGCCAACAAATGACACTGCAGGTCCATGTCCACCAGGTTTGTCAGGTGCTAATGTCGCGACAGGTGTCTCTGCACCAGGTTTCGTTGCAGGAAGTCCGCCAGGTTTAGCTGGAGTAGGTGCAGGAGCGCCAGGAACTAGCAGTGGAAGCCACGGAGATCCACTGTCTAAGAGTGACAAGTGGCTACAGCCCTTGGAAGCAGCGAAGCAATGGGGTAGTCGTGCTGATGAACTAACAGGATTTGCGCAGTACATGATGTACCTGTCGTCCTGGTTAGCAGCTATGTCGGACAAGTATCCCGAGGAATTGTTCCACGCCTGTCGTCATCCAAGTACAATCTTGCAGGAATCGTTGCCACAGGATCTCGCTGTAAGGTCGGTTCGCCTTCAGGCAGTGCTTGTTCAGGCATTCGCTAAGAATGTAAAGGCTACCAGGTTGATCACGCGCTATGTTGAAGCATGTATCACACCGTGTGGATATGAGACCATTCGTCGTCTTGCACGTGAGTTCACACTTCGTAGCGCGCAAGAAGGGTTGTATTTTCGACAGCAGTTAGCACAAAAGGCTTTCAAAGAAGAAAATGTGACAGATTTGCTGTTTCAAATGGACACTGAATTTGCTCGCTTTGATCGCATGACCACCATGTTGGCTGATCCATCCGAAGCCGTTGCATTGTCCCTCACTGTTGTTGACAAGTTGGCCATTCTTTTGAGAAGCCTTCACGGCCCTGTTCGTGAGTATGCGTTGCTCCACTCAAACGGCATGTATGAAGATGTTCGCGCCAAGGCCATTGAATGGGAGTCGAGGCACCGCATTTGGGCCGATCCGTTTGGGAAGCAGAGAAACTTGCACAAGTACACAGGTGAACCACCTAAGAAAGTTGAAGGAACATGCCATGTTTGTGGAAAACCTGGTCATTTTGCCAAAGATTGTAAGTTCAAAGATCGGAATCCAATCTGTCATTCATGTGGAGAGCGTGGTCATTTTGCTGCAGCATGTCCAAAGAAACGTAGCTCTAGTCAACAGTCTCGTACCGACTATGCCGGTAAAGGGATTGGAGAGTCTAAGGGCAAAGGAAAAGACAAAGGAAAAGGCAAAGGCAAAGGTGTTGGAGGTAAGCAGTCTGCAGAACCTAAAGGTAAAGGCAAGAAAGGAAAAGGCAAAGGCAAGAAAGGTGCGCGAGAGTTCACTGAGTCAGAGTGTGTGTCAGAAGAGCCAGTTGACGAGCCGGATAGTGAGCATGCAGGGCATGTTGCCGAACTCATGATGGGTTATGTTGCCATGTCCAAGCAGTCGTTCGTTCCGGTCGATTCGAAGCCTTCTGAAGTGAAAGCCATGTTTCGGATGGCGCAGTCGGTGGCCTCAGCGGAGATGGAAGTAGAGACTGAAGATGTTTCTATGGAACCTGAAGCTATGAACTTGCCTTTGAACCCGAATGATAGTCCAGAATGGGTTTTGTTAGATTCAGGAGCTTCTTCACACGTGTTGTTTTCGCAGTTTGTTGCAGCACATGAGTCATGGATAGTGTACACCACATCACAGATGGCCATGTTTTCGACAGCAGATGGGTCCAAAGTTAAGCTGACTAAAGTCATTGGCGTTGCCATCAGGTGTGCAGTGGATTTTGGTTGAAGCTTTCGTAGGAAAGGTTGAGCGCAACATTTTGAGTCTAGGAACGCTGTGTGAACGGGGTTGGAGTTTTGGCATGACGCCAAAGCACGCCTTTCTTCGTCAGAGTGGATGTTCACTGTCGATTGAGTGGTATGCCACATGTCCATGGGTCAAGATGGATTTGAGTGCCACTAGGACACGCCGTTCGTCGTATGCACATCGTGTTTCCTTCGACCCGCACGCCCAGGTGAAGCAGTTCGAGGTCACTCCATCATCCTCGTACCGTGTTCGGAGCCCGAAAGCCGAAGCCAAGAGATCCGAGTTGAAGTCATGTTTGAAGGGTAGCTCTAGCTTGAAGCAATATGTGTTGTTGAAAGAGTTCGTGCAGCTTCCGTCTTGCATGAGTCATGAGGTGACTAGCCTGGACATACATTTCAGGGTTAAAAATCTACGATACAGGCATTCCAGAGCTAAAACCCCCAGAGGGTGGGTAGGGGAAGGCAAGATTTTGAGCAACTTAAGTTGGCGTTGGTTGACCGGCTTTTCAGGCACCACAAGTACCTTCAAAATCTTGAGCCTGCCTTGAGCCAGTTTTGCATAGTTTTAACACACCTAATCTTAACACAGGCGACACACAATCCACAAACAGAAGGAAGGACACCACCGTCAAATTATTTACTCACCTTATCTGTGGCAATTTCGAAGCTGCTCTTTCGGGAGTTGGCAAATGTAGAAAGGTCAAAAAAAGGAAAAGGATTTCGCCAACATTTGGGAATTTAACCCTGGTTGACGGGATTTGACTGGGGTTGATGGGATTTGACTGGGGTTCGCTGGGGGATTTGCCTCACGTACGCCCTGTGCCAATAGCTAATCGATCCTGCTCGCAACCCCCCGATCAGACACATAGCAAACACAATATTGTTATGCATCAAACATCTGGCGCTTCATTTTCCATCTAGCCAGAACGAAGGTCTTTCTTATCAAGTTCTGCTAGCGCTTTAGTCAGCCGAGACTTGAGGCTGAGCAAGACACGCTCTATGAGCCGTTGAGGTGCTTGTTTAGGGTGGCATTTTTTGGCCACATTCATCTGACGTCGCACCCAATCTTCATCCATCCAGCACCAATAGTTGAGGGGAAGCCGAAGTGTCCGCCTTGCCTGAATGAAGGTATGGAGCAGCTGGTGGACCTTCGGTCTTGGGTTCAACAGTTTGTAGCGAGTCGTCCCCTTCAAGGACAAATGCAAACTCAGATATAGTTTTGCAAGAGCTTCCCCCATAGCTTCGATTTGGGCACCTTGTTGCTGTGTGAGCACGGAGCAACCTTCCCGCTTCAAAGCCACCATGTACTGAAAAAGTCTGTCAGCAACATACAACAAAGTCCCAAGCCGATTGTCTAGAGCGTGGCCACCCGAGGCTATGTCCACAAGCCATTGAAAAATGATCACACTTCGGGAAGCTTTGCCGTGAAACTCTGCATATTTCTTCGTTTGGAAACCCAAATTTGCTTTTTTGAAAGCAAACCTGCTGGGCAACACCTTGCCTTTTCGTTTACACCATTCATGCAGCAAAGTCGAGGCCCGGTGGAGCCGATCAGCAATGGTGCAGCCTAGAAAAAATCTGGTGTGGATCAAGATGGCCATGCAAGCAGAGATGATGTCCCGCTGCACACCCAAGTACCAGCAGTGCAGAAGGTCACTCATGACAAATTCCAATTGAAAACCAGGACAAGAAACTACAGAGGGCTCCGTGTTCCATGGCAAAGTCTGGAAGAGTGTCCTCCTCCAACCAGCTGTGGCCGCTAAATCTGTCCACACAAAGGGCCCCATACTTTTTGTAGCGTCACATTGCCAGCAGAAAGATAGCGCATTGTAATGCCTCCGGAGATTGAGCATTTGCGCCAGAAACTTCCAATCACCTTTCACAGCTGTAACCCACATTCTCACGAGAGATGAACTGCAGGCAATTCCTGCCGATAGCCTTTGGAAAGCTTCTGCTATTATTCTCATTGCTGTTTGTAGGGTGAGGTTCACTTCATTTTCTATGTGGTACATCGACTTCTTCAAGCATGTGATCAAGAACCTGGAGGCTCTTGAGTCAGAAGAAAGCCGAGAATGCTCGGGCTGCCAGTGAAGGCACATCCATGTCTCATTGAGAAATGTGCCCTCGTCACCATACAACATCACTGCAATGTCTTGAACATTACAGCGAGCATCTGCAGCACATGGGTGGTTCAGATTTTTCCAAAACTCCGACGGGCTCTCTCCCAGAACTCTTCGGTAGTCATTCCGCAGCAAACCACCAACCTAAAATCCATCAACAGCCACGAGCGTACATGGCTGAGCAGAAACTGACACAACTAAGTGCCGAGCCAGTTCGTCTGGCAACAAGAAGGGCCATTGGGCAAACTCCATACCTGTGGTCGGATTCGAGACAGGAATTTGTTCCCAAGACACATTGACATCTAAGGAGTGCCCCAGACGGCGAGCAGCAGCGTGGTCTTCATCTGTTCGCCTGCGCATCAAAAACTATATTATATTGCAGGCCAAAAAGATTCAATCCGAACCTAGTTGAAAATGCTTCTGAAGCATAGATGCGCCCCAAGATCCGTGCTGTGGACCAAGAAGCAGTGCCCTCACCGATGTTGTCAAAAAGCCTCAAGTAGAAGCCAGGAGAACTGGCAGAAAACACCCCTGATAGTTTCATCAACCAAGGGCCACACACCCGGTCAAGTTCTGCGCGCAGAGGGCCTATACCTGGCGAAGCCATTCACAAGCACACCCCCTTCCAAGGCATGTGAAGCACAACACATTGCAGCAGCACACCGAAACAACAAAGCACATTCTTTGGCGTGAAGGTCTCCAGCCGCTCTGAGATGAGAGAGTGTCACTTAGACTTGCGCACGGTAAGCCAGACAAGTGTCCATTGCTATAGACATTCTGGCTCTGACATTGAACAAAACTTCCCAACAGGCAATCCACAGATTGACATCATGGATCCTAAAGATCACCGCGCAGAGACACAGGGCCCTCACTGCTTGAATCCCCTGGCGCGATTACAGGCAACAGCTTGGTCAAGCACAGCAGAAAATCATATGTCTATCTATATAATTCTATATATATATACAGAGAAAGAGAGAGACATATATATATAAACACAGCGCTTAACCCCCCCAAGTTGGCGTGGCAAAACATGCCCCCAGCACTTCTTGATCTCATTCACAAAAGCCCGGACTTCAGCCCGGCGCAAACGCACCGCGGACACCTGGCCAGACACAGGCACACCAGAGACGCAGATGCACAGTTGAGCGAACCTCAGCAACAATATCCGGAAAAATAATATCCCAGGAGGCCGCATCTGTGATGGTCTTCTGCCTTCAAAGACCAGGACAGCAAAAAGGTTTCAATCCAGCAAACATCGGGAAAGCAGTTCCACTAGCCACGCACTAAAAAAAGCACCCGCTTCTCCCACATCGATTCCAGCTTCGACTTGCAATCATGGATGATCGCCCCTTTTGTGGCAATGTGTTCTGCAGGGAGATCGAGGTGCAAGTTGTTGAGGTTATTGATGTCGGCCTTCAAGGCACTGCCTTAGACGTAGCTAGACAGTTGAGCAGCCTTTTGACCTGAAGAAGCGGTCTCAACTTATAAGGTTTCCACGGAGTAGCACCAACTTATCATCGACAGTCTTGTTCTGGAGCTTAAGGCCCAGAGGACCTTTCTCCGTCTGATTGCCACCACCTTGCCTCTTCGCCTTGGCCTTGGCCTTACCCTGGGGTGCAGCCGGCGGTGGTGGTCCTGCACAAGCAATCAAGTAAAAAATGAACTATCAGGCCATCGCGCAAAAAAACAAGAATATCCTGAACTCGTCGAAGCCTGGGACCTGGCATCTGACATGAACTTCAGCATGTCCAGGCCAGAAGCTTGGCTCAGGTTATTGAACAGGTGCGGCGCACGGCACACAGCATCCGCTGCATCTGCGTTGCTCACAGCCCCAGCAGTGGTGACTGAAAGCTCAGATTCATTGGTTTTCCGTCTCTTGCGCTCAACCGTGAACCAGTAACCAACATCCTCCTCCGAGTTGGGAACTAAAGGGTCTCGGACTCCCGGTTGGGTAGCGATCGCAGCAGCAATGCGAGCCCTGGGATGGGCGCAACACAGCCAACAAACTAGTTTCCACCTCAAAAAAACACACTGAAGGTGCAATTATTTCCAACAAAGCACTCACTGATCCCATGCTTGCGAGCATTGATGATGGTGAGAAGCTGTTCCTCCTCCTTTTCGGAATGCTTCTGGCTCACATGCATCTTGAGTGTGCTCTCGATGTGCTCGACATTCTCCTTCCCAAAGATCCATTGGCGGAAAAGCTTGTTTCGCTCCTCGCCTTGAGCCAGCCACATCTTTCGCATGATGGGACAGCTTGTGGTCTTCGGACCCTCGCAAGCCCGCTGCAACCGTCGCCACTCCCTTGGGTGGGTCAGCGAGTTCATCTTCTCAGGCTCAACAAAACCAACCTGGCTGGCAATGGCATGTCTCGGATCACCAGCCACCATTTGCGCTGTTTGCTTCACCCTGCCCGGAGATCCATCTTGACCCTCGCGCGAAGGAAAATCATCCCTCTCATCCTCCTTCTCCTCCTCCTTTTCCCCATCAGGAACTTCACCGCTCTCAACAAACTCCTCACGCATTGCTTCAGGAATCTCATGATCGCCCAACGGCTGGCCATCCAACTCAGTGTGGCCGAGACCAAGATCCTCCCCCATAGTTTCATCCAAGTCGAAGTGTTTGGGAAGCGGTGTTTTGCCTTTCTGGAAAGCATCCGCCAAAGAAGCCTGAGAGGACCTAATGGGCAAACAAAGAACTACACCACTGTGTCAAATGAACCCAGTTAACAACCATGTATGAGCCCCTGACGCTCGAGAAGGTGGCTTGCACTTGGACTCAACAGGCGACCGCATCTGTAGAGACAGGAGCTGCTGCCCAGTCTCCAAAGTCTCCAGCGACCTTGGACATGGCCAGCACACAC